CATTTGACAATTAGGTTCCGTAGTTGAAGTTTGGCACCCCAAAATTTACCGGAAGTACTAACTTATTGGGATATTGAGGCATCGGCTCCGTTTGTTTGGATTTAAAATATTTTTTTATATTTTGGTATTTGGTTTTTGTAAAATATTTACAAAAAAAAAAATAATAATAATAATAAATAAAATTAAAACCTAACAAAAATAACTTACTCTTCAAATTTTGGATAAATTAATTTATAGGCTATATCCGATGGTTTCGATCTCAACCTCGACCTAAACATTTACCAAACACGAGAAAAATGAATTTTACGTTATGTCAAAAGTACATTAATTATGATAAAAAAAAATAAAGAAGGTGTCTTAATTCATGAGTCTTCTCTTTCTCGTAATGCCAAACTTTGTAAGTCTATTTAGATGTTAATTAGGCTCGGTGTCCATAAGTCGTTCTATGACGGAATTTTGTATTTATCTTGATAATTTATTTATTTATTTATTTTCATGGTCAGCTAAAAAGCAGAAGTGCAGAGTTGGAATACAAATCATTGGGTACAAGTGTTGCTGAAACTATTTGGTTTCGTCAAATTTTGAAACATCTTCATGTTTATTTGGCCCATCATGTGTCAAGTTCATGTTTACTTGCCACCATCAATTTCAAGTTTTTTGCGATAATATTAATGCTCTTATCTCACAATTAACCCGATTGTCATTATTCTCTCAAAATCTATTGAAATTGACGTCCATTTTATTCGTGAGAAAGTTGTTTTAGGTGATTTATTGGTTCAATATATTCTGACAGATTGACAAATTGTTGATATTTTTACAAAGGGATTATCAACTTCAATTCTCAATTTGAACTTTATCGATCCAATCTGAAATATTTTTATCACAATTAATTTTGTACTCTTGTATACATATCATTATTGTAAACTCCACTCATTATATATACAGAACTCGTGATCTAATTGACACATGGTTCACGTAATTCTTGAGAATCAATATCCGATAAAATTGTGTTACTTGAGTAAAGTAGGTGTATTAGGAGGAAACGAGTGTGTGTGTGCGCGTGTGATTGTGAACCGCGAACAATATTGTTGATTCTGGTGGTAGTAGGCAGAGGTTGGTGAGAATACAAGGGTGCTGCGGACCATTTGACAGAGCCTAAGGATCTTATGAGAAGTCATCTCTCTTAAGACTTCTCTAACTAGTATTAAATTAGGACGTAAACTTTTTCCACAAGTCTGTTTATTTAATATAATAATCTTTAACAGAAAATTCCAAAGAACTTTAATAATGCAAAACAATTACGAATGTAAACTAGAAACCCAAACCTAGCTATTGGACTCCAAAAGGAATTTAAAGTTGAGCACAAAAGAAACTTTTAGCAAAATGGACAATCAAAGTGGGCTTGGAAAGGCCAGTCTTTAACGATTCAATGTCTTTGGGCAGAGTGGGTCTAGGTCTTCCACTTTAGCCCATATTCAAAGCATTTCAAAAGCTTTACAAGCTTATCCTTATTCCTATTAAACAATTAAATTTAAAACAAACATATGTCCTACCAAATTAATATATATATTTCCTTTGATGTTTCAAATATAAACCCGTATGTTAGCTTGAATTTATATTGTTGAACCTAACAAATACCCTATCCCAACAAATTATCAATAAAACATTCACATATGACTTAGATCATTAACCCCACCAAGTCTTTTTGCTTCAGATTCATATCTGAAAAATTGTTAAATTAAGCAAGGCTTTTTAAATTTGGTATTTTCCTGCAATAGCAGTATATAATACCTGAAAAAATAATTGTTTACGAGTGTACCTAACCAACAACACCAATTTCGTATATGGATGTAGTGGATCCAATAGAAACATTGCTCATTTTTTAAAGTTAAGAACTTATTAATCAATTGGGCTATAATTTGAAAAATATTAATATATGAAGATCGATAATAATATTGACAACACAATAATGAGATGGCAACCCAAATATAAATCTTATTCTAACCAAAAACCCAAATGGGCCAACCCCTTAAAAGTACTCAGCATGATAAAAGTGGATTTAGATCAACAATAGGTTAAAAACTGACTTAACTTCTACTCTTACTAGTTTGTACACTAACGTGTTACAGTGTGAAGTTAGGATCCGATGCAATAACAATATTGGACGGCTATGTCGCTCACACATGTGGAGTTATAATATAAATATTAAGTGAACGTGGGGGTGCACGCTGTAGAGTTTGTTGTTAGGTGTGTACGTGTGACACTTGATGTCTTAGATTTTGGGAAACTTAAATGAAGTCAAGTTTTTTTTTAGTTTTTGGACTTTGGGGGATAGAAAGTGTGTGGGGGCGCAATAACTGTGTGCTTGGTGTGTCAATTTTCGATGGTGAATAATGCAACAATGAATAAGAGAAATTGGTTTTGCAAGTTTGCTAAGATAAATCCTTCGTTTTTGTTTCAGATTCTTAAGGATGATCAGATTTTCCAACAAGTGTTTGGAAGAAATTTGTGTTGGGAGTTGTTATTTTTATTTTATTTAATTCTCTTGCGTTGATTGTAAGTCTCAAGTTAAGTCATAAAGAAATCGTTGTATGATCTTATTAGAGGTTATTGTCGGTTTGGCCCGTAATCCCCCCCCCCCCCCCCCTGAAGGGTATACTTTTGGTGTGCTTTATTTTTCCTATAATGTTTACTGTTTATAAGTTATTCTATAATTTGACTGTCTATGATTTTTCCATCTATATATATTATATTCTATGTAAGTTATACCAACATTTAAATCACAATGATTGTTTTAGGGTTTTACCGTCGCATAACACACTCAACAGAAATAATTTCTTTATTTTAATCATGAGCTAATATATAAATTAAAAAAGTAGCCTACTTAACCTTTATCACTTTCACACTCTCTTTGTTTGATATGTTTCACCTTTTAGCCCTTGCTTGGATCAACCAGATAGAATTATGATGAGTCAACTGCATGCATGGACTCATCCAACAGTTTTGGACAAACACACTAAATAAATTATATGTTGATTCAACTTTTCCTTCTTCTTCTTTTTTTTCTTGTTTGTTTTTTTTTTTCTAAAAAAAAAAATGTAAATACCTTTACAAACTATTAACTTTATTATTATTTTATTCTAATCCTTTTACTTGCACATATTAATTTAAATTTGGAAGAACACAAGTAACTTTTTCTTTCTCAAAGGAGAGGTGAGGGATTAGAGCACTTATTAAACAATTTATAAAATATGTGTGTAAGTACCTGACAATATATATATATATACACACACACACTTTAGCTGTTTGGCAACAAGAATATGATTTTTGAGTTGAGCTTGGCCGTTTTAGAAACAGTGATGGAACAGAAAAAAAATGAGTGACAAGCTAACCACCTCTACCACCTCCAAAGATTGATGATGAGCACAGTTCTTGGATCCTTGAACTTGCCCACATTAGTTACAAGTTATCCATCCAACTTCACCTAATTTGTGACCCTCAATCCATATTGGGAATATGACTCTATCCATTTGGTTTAATGTGGGGCACCATTATAGGGTCCTCTCCCTCCTTGTTCATGCATACTCCAGGAGACACTGGTCAAAAGGGAGTCAAAGTGAAAGAAATATTTTTGAGTGGGAAAGAGAAACCAAAAGTAGCTTTAAAGATTCATTCACAAGCTCTCTTATCATTTCTTGACAATTTGGACTACCCACATTGCCCATTCTCACTTGGTCCCCATTCAAGCTGTTCCCCTCCCATTCTCATGGATACAATGCATCTGCCTTCTTTTTTCTCAATCACTAAGTAATGCCCTAAATTACATTTTATTACAAGTATGACATTCTTTTCTCTTAATCATTCACTTCTTGAATTGGAGACATCCATCAGATTTCATGTATCTAAAATATTTGTGGGCTCCACTTGTATTTTGTCTGCTATAGTTTGACAACTGCCTCCTCATCTTTACAAAAAAATTGTTGCCCTTTGCAATTCTAGTCATTGGGGAATCCTTCAAAAGCTTTTTTTGTGCCAGATAGAATATTTTATATAATTGCAGCTATAGCTCTCTGATTGCAATGACAAATTGGGGGGTATTCTGCAAGCTGTTAATTGTGAATAATTTTGGTTGCTAATGGCCCTACATATTTAAGGTCTCATGACTCTTATCAGTCTATTTTGCTTTTCAATCAATGTGTTGGTAAACATTGGTGTTTCCCTGTTAATTGAGAGTGAGGAGAGGGACATGTCCTGTGCAACCTAACCTTCGATATTATTTGCACAAAAATGACCCTCTTTTGCACAACATGAGGCTTTACCACATTCTCACTTCTAGTATTTTTACAAATATATATATCACTTGTATTATCAGTTTATGTGGATATGTGAGATGATGGTATGTGCCTAACGAATAAAACATGAGAAATTTTGAAGGAATCCCATTACAACGAAATGAAAATAATAATAATAATGTAATTTTTCTGTTCAAATCTGTCAATATGTCGCGCGCTGTTCAGCCAGAGGTAGTTATGGATGCTTATGAAGTAGAAATGCTACATAAGCAATATGAAAGTTTAACCTGTAGTCATGAAGAAGTTTAACCTGTAGTCATGAAGCTTTACAAGAATACTCCGTTGGGTCTTGTTGTATTTGACACATGATTTGCCATTTTTTTTTTTTTCCGTCCGATATGGAAAAATGCATCGAATTTCCACTATTTCAACAGTCCTAATAGCATTTTCCTCGTATTTTCTGCTGTCAAAGGATATCCCTTTATACCAATAATGTGGAGTGACATATTCTATTAGTCTAATCAGGCTAATAAATCATGAAAGGTATAGACAAAGCACTAAGAAAAGAAACGTTTATGTATCAAAATGAGGCCATGATCCATTTTCAAATAATTGCATTCCCAAATCACTCTCTCACACTCTCTGTTTATTAGAAAAATCTAAATAATCAATACTGGATGTCTCAAAGTCAAGATCACAATTGACTATCTAGCAGTTTCTGCTTGGCTGATCTGAACATACATGCAACACCTCTGATTCAAGTCCAATCAAATCATATTATGTTTAATGTAACTCCAAACTGCATAAAAACATTAATTCCTAAGACTATCGGATACCAACCACTCTTCTTTATCTCTAATTCATTCCACATCAAAAGGAAATTCGGAAAAATGGGACAAATTTGAGAGATTATAAGCCTTCTATTAAATAATTTGTAAATTCGTGAGGGCTAGTACAAGTATATATAACTTTGCAGGCGTCGTTCTTCGTATAGCATGATCTGAGTACAATTTTGATCAGAAAATTGGAAATTAGAGTGAAATGGATGATCTTCATGTGTTAAATGGCAATGAGGGATAGCCGCCAAAAGTGAGGTCAAAGGGGCCAACTTGAGTTTGAGTGGGAGCAGCAATTCCATATCCTTCTTTTATTGGCATATGCACCTTCTGTGCCTCTAATGCTTTTGCCCTCTGCAACATAAAACATTCACAATCACTCGTCAACACAACAATAATCACATACAATATACAAGTCCCAATCCGTACGTATTCTATATATGTACATGTTATATAATTATACATCTCTTTTCTGAACATTGAATTGTACTTGGGCAAAGTAGTACTAAAGAAGCACCTGCATGGTTTCCATAACATCTGTATCCGAGTTGAAGTCGTAAAATGTGCTTGCTGCAGTAAGCTTCATCGAAAGAAACTGAATTTAAAACCGAAGAAACAAACATGTTAGTGTTGAATCTGATAGGTTTTGATCGTGTGGAAACATATTTCTTCATTCTTTTTGACTCACCTCAACCTGATTCTGCAAGGACTGAACATAATTGATTATTTCATCCAACATTACTGCCATGCCCATGGTCTGCAAATTTACCAAAAGTATATGAGATCGAATACAAAAAAAAAAAGATATATATATATATATATATATATATATATTGTTTTTGCAGAAACAAAATACCATATATGAATTGAAATTATGATTGTTTTCCCAAAACTATCTCCTTACCTTGTAGCATCCTGGAACAATGTCTTGCAAGCACCTTAGTCTTTCATTAATTTTTCCTCTTCTAGCCTGATCATCACAATAAAATCATTTAGTGACTTCTAAAAATGCTTAAAACCAAATAAGTGACTTCTAAAAATGCTTAAAACCAGCTATTATATATACATATATATATGTGTGTGTGTGTATGTAGATGTATAATTACCCTCTCTGCTAAACTGTGACTATCAGTAGCTTGGCCTCTTCTGGCTCTAACATGTACCACTTCCTTTGGTTTCTCTTCATTGTCATTTATTTTCACTCTCTTTCCTCTTGCTGAAGTCTGTGAACATAAAAAACGCAAGTGAATTATATAACTTTATATTAATAAGAACAGAGAGATCAGAGTACTGAAAGAGCAAAAGAATATCAAAGTCGAAGAATTGATGAAGTGATTACATTTTTCCTCTTAATCCCGTTTTTAGAAACTGGTGGAGACGAGTTTGCGGAGCTGCTTTCTGATATATCCATCACTAATTTCCTCTTCTTGATTTCATGAAAATCGTTTACAGGGGAGATAGTGGGCTCCAAAACCGGCACGAAATTCTTGTCATGGCGATGGAAAATGGCAGGAAAATTATCCTCCAAGTTTCCAGGAAATTCTGGTGTTTGTTGGATAAGAAAATCTTCATTGGAGAAACTCATGAAGTTTGAATGATTGTCAAGAACGCTTGGATTCAAGTCTTGGAAATGGTTCACTAAGTCCATGTTTGGATCAATATCTAAGAAGGACAAGGCAGGTTTAAAGCTCATCTGCATATCTGCTGCAAAGTCAGCCATGAGATCGAGACCTTTGTATTACAAAGTTTCTTCTAAGAAACTGAATAGTGTGTGCCTAATGCTTGCAATCAGTACATACATATTTATATATATATATATATATATATATACAGACACACTTGTAAATGTAACAGTGGGGTTACAATGTGGAGTACTGTAAGATCTTAATATTTTAAATTTTTTTTTATCAAATAAAGAATGAAAAAGTGAAACATTTTACGGGGCCACGTGGCAATTTGGGCATCTATTGTTTGTGTTCCCTGGGTAGGACCTACATTCAGGAGATATATCCAATGTTGCGGGCCCATCATAAGCCTCAGGTAAGCTGGAAATTTTAAGACCTTTTATTTTTGACCTATCACTAGATAAGGGAGAACAGTGGCAAAGAAGCACTAGTTGTTTGGCTACATATTAAATTTTTAATGGAGTGTGACATCTCATACAAATTAATGGTATGAATGTAATAATCTTGGCCAACAGTATGATTTATGTGTAGAACTTCACATCCTGAAAACTGTTACAAATTATTAGTTGGTGGGTACTGAAAATTAGAACTTCACATCCTTTGAGTCTTTGCCACTATTTCAACAGTGCTAATATCATTTTCCTTGTTTTAATAAATAACTACAAATTATTAGTTGGTGGGTATTGAAAATTAGTTGTTCTTATTATAATATTTTTTTATAAAATAGTTTTCAATCAAGCATAATATTTTTTTATATATATACTTTTCAGGTTTTTTATACATGAATTTTCATAAATTCGTTTTCAGAAAACTAAAACAAGCAGAGTTTTTGTATACTTTTTAGTTTTCTAATAAAAAAAATTATTTTTATAGTTATAAATTAAGCATATCTATAATTTTTAATTCAAAACAACTACTGGGAAATTGATTTTTTTTTTTTTTAATAAAAAATACTTTTAAGGGTTAGTTTGGTTGGCGTGAACAAACAAGAAAGGAAAATAAATTGAAATTTTTTAAATTTTTTAACAATTTAGTTATTTTCACAACTCGTTAATTTTCTTGAAAATGTTTCTTTCATAAAACATGCCAAAATTCTAACTTCTCTTGAAAGTTGTATCATTATATTTTGATTTCATAATATGTCATTGTTAATTGTTTATCTTTCTTCTTCTCTTTCTTCATCATCGATATATTAAAACTCTATTATTAGGGTACGATTCTTTAGGACTCTTCTCCACCCTCACAAATGAAGTGACCTCATCTAATACAGTAGTAAAGTCCTAATATATAATGCAAACTTCAAAAAAATAAAAAACTAAACTATTCAATTACTAAATTTGTATTTGGACACATACACAAATATATATATATATACATTTATGGTTTTTTTATTTTTTTATTTTTGCCTATTGCATGATGTATTTTACTTTATATTGAATTAGTAAGGATAATTTTAATATATAATTTCTTTTTTTTCACTTTGATACTATTCAAAATAATGGAATAATATTTTTTTACAATTTTATTTAAAAAAAATTAAGCTAACCAAATACATAATAAAAATTCAATTTTATTTTCTTTACAGTACTTAATGTTCCTTTCACTTTTCAATATCAAATTCCGACTAATTAAACGGACTCTAAAGTAATTTTTGTTGCTTCCATGATCACTTTATAGGATTAAGTTTTTGACCGCATTAAAAATATTGTGTGATGGAACCTTGTGTTACGTACATTGCTTAAGCTCGACTCCGGCTCATAACATGTGCATTGTCTAATTTGTCTTTTTGGGCACATGACAATACATTTAAGTTTCATTAAAATTTTGATTCATGAGATTCAAAATCAAAATTATTAGTTGGTGGGTATTGAAAATTAGAACTTCACATCCTTTGAGTCTTTGCCTAAAGTGGATTGATTTGAAATTTCCATTGTAGGATTTGGGTGTTCAATTTTGGGAGATAATTTTATACGGGGAGGTTTGGTATATGAAGAAGTTAATAACTATTTGTTTGACTTTTATACTTGCCTACTATAATAAAATCATTTGATTATTTATTAACAATTTTTTTTTTTAATTTATAAATGATGGTGAATGATTCACATTTTTAAGTCGGCTTCTCATTGTTTGTCAACCCAAGATGGTGAAAGAATTCTCCCTTGGGTATGTGACATCTAATATGGCTGGGTATATATTTTTTTATATAATAAAAGATTAGACAATTAAATAGTATTTAATACTGTTCAAAGGTCTTGCTTTACATAGTGTGTGCGCGCGCGCATCTAGCTTAAAAAAATTAATCACCCCGAAAATTGGATACAAAAGAAGTGTTGACTTTAAATTATTGGATATCATTTATTAGACTCGTGTATTAAGTTTAAAAAAATAGTTATATATATTTGACGGAAAATGACCAATGCATTAAGAAAGAGGAATAATACAATTAGAGAGAAGAGTGTATAACAACCACTGGGGCTAGACACTCAATTCAAAATCGCAACACTTGGCTACAAGAGCCATTTTGCTCAACAAGTGAGCTACACCATTGCCTTCACGAGGCACCCACGCCAAGGAAGCACCGTGACACATCTCAAGAAGAGAGCGCACATCAAAGAAAATCACATGCAAAGCCGCAGAAGAAGCGTTCAAAGACATAACTGGTTGACAGTCGCCCTCGAATCACATTGAGATAGCCCCAAACCTTTAGCAGAGAAAGGTTGTTCCTTAGAATTTAACCTTCTGCCAAAGTAGGATCAGCAACATTAGGAAAGAAAAAGGAGTCAACCCGGATAGGATGGCCCCTATGATTGCGAAGAATTAACCTACCCCCACAAACTTTCCTGAAAGAATCATAAGAGGCGTCGAAATTAAGCTTGAGAAACACCGAGAAGGAATAGAAACCAACGGAGAGGGCGAACAAGAGAATAACCGAGATTGTCGAGAACATTCCTGAAAGTCAAGAAAGGCCCGAAAAGCGTGTTGAGCCGCATCGAAAGGAGCCCACCTCTTCTATTTAAAAACTAAATCATTGCTGCACTTCCAAATGGTCCAGCAAATGAATGACGCAAGCCTGAAACATTCAGCCAAATTTTCTGAAAGAGACCAAAGCTCGGAGAGACCGACCCATCTCTTGGGCCAAAAGGATGAATTAACACCCCGGAAATCCATTCGCAGCGGACTGTGAAGCCAAACCATACTCACAAAGGGACAGGCACAAAGAAATGGTCAACGGATTCAACATTGTCTTCATAAAACGGGCAAGAAGAGCAAACAGTAACGCCTCAAATGGCCAATGATAAATTGACAAGGATCCGATCATTAATACTCTACCAAAGAAATAAAAGAATCTTCCTGTGCGTTTGGATGGACCACACATTGTGCCACACATTAATCTTGCCACCATCGAAACTACTACCCTCAGACACCACCCTCTGAGAGCTTGGATGAAGAAGTGAGAGAGTTATTTTATAAGCACTCTTGACAGAAAATAAACCATCCTTGGAAGCACCCCAAATCTTACAATCCATATCACTCATCAAACTAATAGGAATCTAAAGAATAAGGTCGCGATCCTGCTGATTGAAAGATTGATGCACCAAAGAAGTGTTCCATTGGTGGGTCGAATGAGAAATTAGATCAGCCACAGTTGAGAAATGAGCACCCCGCTGATGAGAGGAAACTGAGAAGTTTGAAGGGTCGGGAAGCCAATTGTCCTTCCAACATTTAACCTGCGATCCGTCGCTAATACGCCATGTCATACCTCTTTTGAAAATTTCCTTAGCCGATAAAATCCCTCTCCAAGCCCGTGATGCTGTAGCTTTACTTGGGGCATCCACAAAATTGCACTTATTAAAGTATTTCATCTTAAATGCTTTAAACAAGAGAGAATCATCACTCTTTTCCATACGCTAAGCCATCTTGGACAGTAAGGCCAAATTGAAATCCTCAAGATTCTTAAAACCTAGGCCGCTAGAAGCTTTCGGGGGTACAAAGAGAGTCCCAACTAATCCATTTTATCTTATTGGATTTTTCTTCCCCGTTCCACCAAAAGTTAAGAAGTTGACTAGATAGAACCTGACAATTTTTTTTGGGCAACTTAAGACATTGTATAGCATAAGTGGGGAGAGCAGAAAGCATAGCCTGCAACATAACTTCTTTGCCAGCTTTGAATAAAAAATTCCTTTTGATAGTTTTCACTTTGGACGAAACTCTATCAGAGATAAAATTAAAAGACGTCACTTTGGATTTACCCAAAAAGGATGAAAGGCCGAGGTACTGATTATGCAAATCAACATTGTGTATGTTAAGAATTTGGCAACAAATAACTCTCTGTTGCACAGTAGTGTTGGAGAGAAATATGCACAAGATTTGTCAAAATTAACCAGTTGACCAGTGAGAGCAGAGTACTTATCCAGAATTGCTCTAATTCTGCGAACTTCAGGATCAATAGCTTTGCAAAATAGAAGTGCATCATCGGCAAAAAGAAGGTGAGAAATGGGCAGACAACCTCGAGCCATACGCAGACCCTGTAATTTTTTTCGCTTGTTGAACTCCTTAAATAAAAGAGAAGGGCCTTCTGTGCAAAAGAGGAAGAGGTAAGGAGAAAGCGGATCTCCCTGCCGAAGACCGCGTAAAGAAGAAAAACTATCACCCTTTTCCCCATTCAACAACACCGAAAAAGAAACCGTACTTAGGCATTCCATAATAATCTTAACCCATCTTGGATCAAAACCCAAATGACTCATAAAATTACCCACAAAAGACTAGCTAACTCTGTCATACACCTTTGCCATATCGAACTTGAGAGCCATAAAACACGATTCACCTTGATGAGACAGTGAGGAACAAACGCACTTTGAGAGGTACTGAAAAGGAGATGAAGGAGAGGTTTGAGACATATCAAATTGTATGTAATTAGGATATCTAATTTATTTTACATGTCTATAAAATATTAAATTGGATATATGAAATATTTAATTTAGATGGACATAATACATCTTATATAGTAAGTACCATCAAAATATATCTAATCTAGATAGCAGCAAATTTAAGGCTTTTAAAATTTCTTGTAAAAATTAATTGAAATGTTTCCTTGTGTTTTTCTTGTTAGAAGAAATTTGTAGCAGTGGATGTTATATGCAAAACATTACATAAAATATTGTGAACAACTTGTAACACAACTGCTGGAATAGCTCAGTTGGCTAGAGCGTGTGGCTGTTAACCACAAGGTCGGAGGTTCAAGCCCTCCTTCTAGCGAGTCCCTATTTTTTATTTTTGTCAGGTTTTTCTTCTATTTATTGTCTCTTATACTCTGTCCATATATGTATATACATATTCTTTTGCTGTCATATTGTTGGAACGAAGAAGAGTCTAATGATTCGTATGCTGTTTTTGTTCAGCCTTCAATGCTACTAGGCTTTTGCTTCTAACTTTGTTTCATTTCGATTCTCAATGAAGCAATCAAAAGAGTAGATTCTGTGTTGTTTGGTTCAAAAGTTTGTGCGTGTGCTTTTGCTTCTAGTCTAGTTTGGCTCTGAAAGTAGATTTTAATATTGTTGAACTCTTGGCATAGCTGTGATTCCTGAAGTTTTTCAATGACTATTCATTCCAAAATGGTGATGTAACTAGTGCACTTCTTATATGTAGTTAATTTATGCCGTTATGGTGATCTATTCCAAATGTCTTATAAATGCAGAACGTCTATAATGCGGCCTTAGTGACCACAATTATGAAGTTGTGGGATTTCTGTGATTGTTAGGGACTTCTGTAATGTGGGCTTAACAACCCCATAATTTTTCAGCCTCTCTGCGAGAGCTTTTCAAAAGAAATGGAAAGCATTAAGCTTTTATGTTTTGCCTATGACAGATGTTTATCATAACGTTAAACACCATATATCTATATTTGTATGTCATTTGGCTTATAAGAAAAAAAAACAATATATTAAAGGTGTATAATACTTCTCCAGAAACTTAAGTTGCACTTACCAGGTAGAAGGCTCAAAATCCAAATCAATATTAATCAAGAATCCTTATTATATTACAGTTTGCAGAGAGAACGTATTGAGTTGGTGTGACACCAAAGAAAATGATCACACCATTCATCCAAAACATTAGAATTCATTCCAATGCATCAATGTAATGCTGTCTTAACTAATAGAGATGTTCATAAGAAGATTAGTGTTATGGCTGTTGTGGGATTTCGAGGACAGCAAATCCCATCCTGAAGTGGTCTATTTAGGCTGAATCAACGTGGGCATTCAACACAATACAGCTTAGGTAAATTAAGTCAAACTTGCCTAACCTTGCAATCATCACTAGTAGATTCACTATTTTGGTTTTCGTCAGTTACATTCCAAATTGGGGAAGATGAAAAAAGAACTATTAACATTGAAGATGCTCAGCTCAATACTGCGTCTTAGCTACTGGCATTGGAAGTGACATGGAAATAGATTTCCATGACCACGAAGCTAGAAGAAGATGGATGAGCTATCAGCATTGTTGATCTGTCAACAGCCATACGAATGGAAAAAGATGAATATAGGCCAAAGCTATTCAACATATTGATCGAGCATGTACATTCGGTTTACTGGTGTAGGAAAAAACTGCCATTGCGAAGATATGGGAAGTCTTAGATAATATTAATCTCAATCTAAGATATGTTTCAGACAAAATGTGCATTAGGGGGGAGGATGAGCATATATTTGATTGTTGAGGCTCAAATGATAACATCATGAATCCCAAACACAGCTACAAAAATTTTATATTACAGCACCCTATAGCTGCCCAAATTGTTTGTTCATCACTCGAAACAATCGAATTCAGCACAGAATGTGAGTCGAGCACAAAGATTGTGCGACACCCTCAATCGTTTCAGAACATCAGTTTTCCATGATCAGCCAGCATCAAGCAGCTGCAAGAGAATAATTTTGGAAGCTTATAAACTTCTACCAGATAGTCTGTTTATCAATTCTATGCGGTGAGCGCTTGATTTAGAGCTTACAGAACAAGTATCAATTAATGTCTCAGCGCAAGGCTCAGCATCCCTATGCAACAATCAGCAACAGCAAATTACTATGCAACAAATATCAAATATTTTTTTTTTCGATCCCGGGCTTTAAAATGTTAATTACTAACTGGTGTTGCTTTATTTCTGTCAAAGGCTCTCTACTCAATTGATTTTAAGTGAGTCAATACATTACCAATTTTGAGTGCAAAATGCTGACTGTGCACATGATGAAAGCAAGACATATATCAAACCACAAGTTCATGTTCATGTAAATTACACAATCCATCATCTTACACTTGACTGAACAGCTGAGTTCGATTGAACTACAACCATTTCAAGTCTAAGTTTGCCAAATTTACCCCCAAAAAAGTCTTAATTAGTTGCTACGCATTCATTCTCATAAAGTTGAATAACATAACTCATACGATATTATGATTAGTTCTATAATTTATTTTAAATATCCCCTAAATACTTTCAAGTCTGAGTAAGAATGTCAATGTTTGATCCCGAAGCTCCTTCAACTTTCATAGTTATCTACAAATTTTCGCCTTGTATACACCAACCATACAAAAAAGAAGAAGCTTCTTTTATGATTTTTGATTCTGCTTGTATCATGATTAGTACCTAATTTCTAACACAGCCATCCTGACTTCTTAAAAAAAACAGAAAGAGTTAATGTATTTGATATCCATTTTAAAGCCTTTGGTAGACCTCTGTGAATATAAATATAAATATAAATATAAATAATATTCATATGAAATATTATTTTAATAGTTTGTTCTTGCCATGATAGCCGCCATTAAACATTCTTCATCATCTTCCATTTTATTCCTCTACCACCAATCATCTTCGTCACCATTTTCCATTGTTTTTATTGTCATAATCATCGTAATCATCACATCACCATTTGTCTCTGAACTCCAAGTCACGACCTTAGCAAAATTTTGGAATGGGCACTCATGGCATGCTCATATAGTCATATTGTTCTAATCCCGTCATGATCATGTCAAGATGTCATCATAGCGCGCTCACAATAAAGTCCCGATGTACAGTACAAATTCTGTTCAAATTTTAGTTTTTTGCAGCCGGCTGCATAATTCTCTTGTCAATCAATTAGCCAATTGCCATAGAAACTGAATGATATGTCTAGACTTTCTCTTGAAAATTCACAATTGTCACAACTCAATGATGATTAAAAATGTTTAAGAAGGTTGGAAATATAAGACCAAAATTGATGGCAACGCTAGCTAGGTTTTCTTTTCATTAGGTGCAATGATAATAAATAAATAAAAAAAAAAAAAAAAAATCTTGTTTGACAAACAGAGGAACATTAACATCGGAGTTTGACAACAATATATTTGCATTCATTAATTCACGCATGTAATCTTGGAGACTAGATATGTATATATATCCCTCTCGACACCTCACATTGGCGGGAGCTAGCAATATTAACGGTCCAAAACCAAACGTAAGTCATGGAGCGGAATAATGAATTAGCTTTGGTCCCCTCTTCCACACCCTCTCCATTTTCATCCCAACCTTGGAATTAGACAAAGAACCCTGATACAATGAATCAATAGGAATAGAGAGCCGAATGCTCTTCATTCACGCAATGAAATGGAGTGAGGGCCTTACACAGTTGATTTAGCCGAAGATCCTTGACCTGAACTCACATGCCCTTGAATGATATTTTCCGTCGCAACCTCCCACAAATTCATATGAATGAAGAGTTGAACGCTCCCCATTCAAGAGATGAAATGGAATGGGCCCCGCTCTCCATTTGTATTGATTATTTCGGCGAAAGAATATTTTCTTTTAGACAAATCAACTATCCCATTATTTCATTTTGGTAGCATCTTTTCCTTCAAGTCTACACTGAGCTAAGAAAAATAATATAAAAAACATTTGCCGACTCTCACGGTATGTATGATGGGAGGTCCATCACTTCCAAAATAGAGTCGACTGCAGAAGCCAACTTAACTTGTAATAGCATTGGTCCTATATACTGTAAATGTAATATGGGGTTACATTAATCACAAGCAAATCAATCTCCATCTTCACCATGCACGCCTCTGTAAAATTGAAGGAACAGTACATTTAAAAAGAGTCAAATTTAGCTGCAGTTTGCTGACTTTTCTTATACGTAATATGTGTCTTAATTTGGTCTAAAAAACTCATGGGATTTTCAAATTGAAAGATGCAGTGGATGTGTGATAAATATAGGGGGGGGAAAAAAAAGCCTTATCATTTCATAGAAAATAAATTAAGAAATAATTTCTAAGTGGACCCTATTGACTTGAGATAATCCTTTCTCTGATTACTATTTAAGAGATGACCAATTCACAGCCCATCCGCAAAAATTCTTCTGTCTTTTGTTTATCTAGCTATCTATAAAAAAATTAAGGTTAAGCGCATTGAAGGTGAATGGGAACCCAATATTATGTAGTAAATGGTTTACTTCTCTCTCTCTCTCTCTATATATATATATACTAGCAGCTACTGTATTTGAAAAGTAGTTGTTTGTATAGTACGGTACAGTGTTTTAGGTGAAGCTTTGAACCTCATAGTGATCTATAAATCTAGAGTGCTGTTGTTTCACCCCTCAAAGACCCCAAAGCCCACTTGTAGTTCTTTGTGTTCTTTAATTTTAGGTTTTTCTTTCATATAAAAGTAGTTAGCCATGTCTAGTTTCAGTAAGAGTGCTGCTGCAAGCTGTAGTTCCAGTGATGAAGATGTTGAGCTGAGAAGAGGACCATGGACTGTTGAAGAAGACACTCTTCTCATTCACTACATTGCTTCTCATGGCGAAGGCTGTTGGAATTTGCTAGCCAAGCGTTCCGGTAATACCATTAATTATTAACCCATGCACAATTACCATGCATATATATAGTTCTATCACCAATTTGTATGCTGTAATTATTTTTTATTATTTATTTGGTTAATTAATTTAGGATTGAAGAGAACGGGGAAGAGTTGTAGATTGAGATGGCTGAATTATCTGAAACCGGATGTTAAGCACGGAAATCTTACTCCTCAAGAACAGCTCTTGATTCTTGAACTCCATTCCAAGTGGGGCAACAGGTCATACATAATTGTTGATTATTCCTACAATTAACTTCAACTACAATTGGTGATCATGTTGAGCCTATCTAATTAACAACATAGGATAGTGCCAAACCTCCCATTGGATAGCAATTCACTGTTATATATTCCAGGAATAATTTGGATATATAGTTGATTAGATGTGATTTACAGTATTTTGTTAGTTCATTCCCCCTTCCCTGCTAATTCATATTCATTCCTATTCCTATTCATATTGCTTTGATTTGATATATATTTTGGTTCTTGCATGTTTGATGCTTATCTAATGATCACTTTCTTTGTCATTGTTTTTATTCTTTCCCCTTATTACTATTATTATTATTTTTTTAATTTCTAGGTGGTCCAAGATTGCAAAATATTTACCAGGTAGAACGGACAATGAGATCAAGAACTACTGGAGAACAAGAGTGCAGAAACAGGCAAGGCATCTTAATATTGACTGCAATAGCACAATGTTTCAAGAAGTGATTCGGTGTTTTTGGATGCCACGGTTGATTCAAAAGATACACAGTTCTTCTTCTTCATCGCCTTCGCCTTTGGCAATATCATCCCAAAACTCAGATGCTCACACTCTCACTACTCATGCCAATGAACATTCAATATTACTATCACCACACATCCCTACACAAGTTCCATTCCGTGTAAGCGAAACAGCATGCAATCTGTATCATCACGTGAACGATTCAAGCTCAGACCACTGCAGTACTAGTACTCCAAGTGTTTCTTCTTCAGAATCCATGAAAATGTCACAAGTCCCTCAAATTTCAGAATACGCAACAACTACTTCATTTCAGGGCATGGATAACAATATGGACTACAACACACTTGTCAAGGGTTGCTACAATGTCGGCAACATTACCTATGACAACATGGAAACCATCAGCCTGCAGGCATCTATGTCTGCACCGGGGGACTACGTAAATCCGATTGGGAAAAGCAGTATTATGATTGATGATGATGATTTCGACGACAGCTTGTGGAACATGGATGAATTATGGCAAGGCGTCATCACCTAGCTAGGGACGTCATTGTTGATCGTGGTATCTAACCCACAAATAGCAAATTAAAGTCTTGTGACATAGGTTAGAGATCTACTATTGTTTGAATATTTTGTTAGTAGGATTTGATTACTGATTCATAAACCAAAAGACACAAGGAGAAAATGTTTGTATATTGGTTTTTGAAAGAGCTTCTGTACTTGATTAACATTCCTATTATCTTTTGTGTTGAGGACGCGTTTCGTTCGTATAAAATTGCTATTCATACCGAGAATAAAAAAAACAAAAAACATGTTTTATAAAATATGGGGAAGACCAAAAGTGTTTTTGTTTCAATGGTATCGCCTTTCCTTCTTCGGAGAGGTGGGTAAAATTGTGTGTGCTTGCTTTTACTATTTAACTAAAAAATGTGCAAAAAATACCCCTTTGCTTTTTAAGAAGTGTATATAAATACTTATATTTTTAAATTTTGTAGCAAAATGTTTCATGTTAATTTTAACCAATTTTTTCTAATAAAAATATCAAAAATTTGAAATCAATATTTTTTTAATTATTTTTTAAAGACATTTTAAGTATTTAAAATTTTAAATTAAAGAATTGTCCTTATTTACTCAATTTAAAAAACATAAAGAGTACTTCTACATCCGGTATGATGCAGAGGGTTTTTGCATTTTACTTTTATAAGGGAAATCAATTACGGATCAATTTTTATTATTGACTTGTGTGGCAGTTATCCTATTGTTATCGATTACAGGTAAGAATTATTGTGAGACTAATTATTAGAGCACAGAAGGCCGAACAGTGTTTCATTGTATATATATTACTATCACCACATGTTGTGTTTCTAACGTTACTCCATAAATAAATAAATAAATATATATATATATATATATAAAATTTTGCAGTGTATATAAAATTATAGAAAAGTTAGAAAAAACATGGGGTTTTCAATATTTAAACCAAAATCAACGTACTTTTTGGGTATGTGATCGTGTGAAACCTAGGACAGTCTCCGAAGTTACCCTGCAATATGTTTTACTTTTGTCTCTCTTTAAAGTGGTGGATGGTACGTAGTCTTGGTAGATTCCAAGAACTGAATCATTTGCTCATTGAAACAAAGCCCACGATTAAGTCTCATCCAACTAAGTTGATAATGTGTGGTCAATTCATGTAATTGAAAGACACAGAGATTAGGGTCCCTCAATTAATTAACTTTATTTATATTTATTTCTCAAAATCACCACTGCGTCTACCATCTATGTTAAGCCAATTCCAGGAAGCAACATCTTCTAGACGATACTTACCATTTTGTGCCAAGGACCCCGTCAACTTTGAAAGCACTGTTCAAGCACCACAAATTCTATCTAATGAATAAGGTTAAAAATCACTCCGTGGGTGAAAACCCGTGATTAAATTTTACAACACGGAGTTCTTTTATCTCGATTAGTACACTCTTTTTTACTCTATTTAAAATATTTAGTATTTAACTTGAACAATACAAATTGAAAATCATGATTCGGGTCAAAATTGGTCCGTGTGACTGGCATTTTAAAAGAATTTGAGATACGACTTAACAATTTTACATTAACATATTCATTTCACGCTCCATTGTTGATAAATATATTAATTGATGAACTGAAATTGATAGAAAATACTTATATATATATATATATATATATATATATATATATATATATAGATGGTTGGTGATATCCGAGGATGAATTGACAAATCTTGTTGTGGTAAACGAATGCAAAGAAGAATCTGGTTCTCCACTTGGATAGCTAAACGAGTCAATGAAAAAGAAAAAAAAGCTGGCCATTATCATGATCGTGATGAGCAAGAGGTTCAGTTTGTTTTGTTGACGAGATGACAGCTTAATTAGCTAGGATTCTCCATCACTAAAATTAAACAACCCACTAAAGAACGAATCTTGACTATTCTACAACAGCTTGCTATTTGCTAACCCTTTGATTAATTATATATACAATGGTTATATCTTCTTCACCCACTAGTGAAACATCTTTGAAATTTTAGGGTTCCTATTAATTAAGATAAATGGAAACAAATTTAGAACAAAATTCTTTTGCCATTTTCCCAAACATTTGTCTCTTTCTCCCAAAGCTTATCTCTAAATATCACTATCAAGAAAAATAAAAAAGGAATCAAATCTCTATTCATATGCTTACAACCGAGTTAAGGTCACTAGTATCTATATAATTTGGGGCTCCATTTGGACCTCAGAAATCATGATGAAAAGGAAAGCAATAAATTATAGAAAATTTGATTCCCCTTGATAAATATATTGAAAAAATTATGAGAAAAAAAAAAAGGAAAAAAAAAAGAAGCAAATTAAATAATAGGAGAGAATTCATACAACTTTGATGAAATCCAATTTTTTTAAAATTTGGGGAAATGGGCAAGGAAAGAAAATAATATATATATATATATATATAAAGACCAGTAAGTAGTCACTCCATTGTCAGAGTCACAGATGCGTGAGGAAACTGTACTCTCAAGTCTAAGTCCCTGCCCTTGTGTTGTGTTGCCAGCTGAGGTGTCTTTCTTTGTTTTTAGTTAAGGAGCTGAGATGTCTTTCGTATTATGAGGAGCCATAGAGAAATTTTGGAAAACAATACACCCATGTGTGTTTTATGACTTTCACACTTATTTAATACACATAGGACTCGGACTCGGACTCCTGTCCCGTTTGAGTTATGTGTCACAACTAAATTGACGGTATTTAAAATTAAAAAAAAATAAGAAATGGTTAGATATAATTTTCTACATAGAGGAGAAAGAGCACCTAGAGAATTTTTTTTTTTTAGAGAATGAACTGGCAATTACACATTGGATTAAGACAGGTTATCCGCCTCAAGGGTTGGACTGATTATCGTTATTCTCTACTATAATTAAGACCAAGTTTAGGCTCACAAATTTGGACGGTGCTTATCATTGAGAAATTTTAAAAAAAATAATAAATTGAAGTTGACACGTAAATATCAAGTTTTTGGATTATGTTGCAAATGTCAATAGAAAATGGCCAAATGAAAGCCAAGGAATTTCACTACTGATTAATATAACAATTTCAAAATATACAAAGTTTAGGTATAGTATTGATGAATGAATGGATGGTTTTTTACTCTTGCAATACATGTATTTATATTAATAATTTTTTAAAATAAAGCTTGACACTATATCTAAAAATTACAAAAAATGAAGATAAGTACCTACAAAATTTCGAATCAACTGGAATTCGTTTGTAACTATAATAAAAACTCCCAAACATTTATCAGACTTCATATAACATTGAAAAAAATTGCAATTTTTTATATGTAAACAATGAAATTTAACTCCCAAAGAAAAAAGAAAAAACAGTCACATGGCTTGCAAAGCATAGCAAGTGAGTATTGAGTATTGATTGTTAAGATTGATCTGCATGGGGTCAAATGCCCCCTGGTCGAAACTGTATTAAAAATCGTGTCAATATGTCTATTTGAACTTTTGGCACTCCAAAAGGATTTCAGGCTTCAAAAATTCTATTCAATGTCAAATATATATATATACTCCCTCCCTTACAAAATAAATGTCCATCTTTTTATTTTTTATATTTTTTACTCGTCTTAAAATAAGTGTCACGTTATTATTTTTTATAATATTACCAATTTAACCTTATTGCATTGAACCTATAAAAAGTAAACAATCATATCATGGTAAACTCATTTGGGGTAAATTGGTAATTTATTCACTATTAATATTATATAAAAAATGATATTTTTTTTTTCAGAAACAAAATAAAAATAATTCTATTAAAAAGTTAGATTCTAAAAAAGAAGGATAAATTACATAGACCATACCTATGCCATAATTACAGGGATCTCCCCTATAGTTTCAGAAATTACACGGACCTCCCTTAAAAATGAAACTAACCTACACAGATCTCCCTTCCGTAACAGTCAACGTGAGTCAATGACGAATTTTGCTAATGTCATGCACTAAATAAATTAAAATTTTCATTTACCTTTGGTTGCAATGAAACATATTTCAAATCTTAAAAAAATACATTAAATTACCAAAATACCCTCATCCCTTCCAAAAGTAACATGTTGGATTCAATATTCCAAAAGGAACATTCTCAAGGACAAACTACTAATATATATATATATATATATATATATATATATATAAAGAATGTTGTATTATGGCCTCAAATAATAACATAACATAATACAACATTCTTTATATATATATATATATATATATATATATGGTCATGGTGTAAATACGTATAGTTCTGACCATGACCATGGAGAGTTCTGACCATGACAATAATTTTGAACATAGTTATTAGACTATTAATGATGAGAATCTGGTGATGATGACAACAAGAAGCAATTCCAGCAAGATCAACGATGGTAGAAAATTCTGGGGGTTCAGTGATGGGTCGTTGGCGATGGAGATCGACTGAGATGGGTTTCTCGATTAAGGCTGCAAAGGATTCTGTAATGTTTTATAAAGTAATTAGGACTCTTTTGGATGGATTGGCGCTAATCAGTAGTGTTTAACGTGAATTTAGGAGAATTTTCACTATAGCAACTTCACAGGCTAATGGCTAACCCCGTGATAACTACATAGTGACGATCAATAAGATGCCGATGACCTTTGATGCAAACCACACAATGATGACCAATTTCAAGTGAAAATTATTAATTTTAGAAAATTAGGGTTTACAAATACAATGGAGCATTCCAAAATACATACATACATACATACATATATATATATATATATATATATATATATATATATTATAATTGCAGAAGAAAGAGAAAGAAGAACACTACGCATATCAACCAAACTGAACGGATCAAAACTGTAATGTCCCGAATTTTCTGGATTTTATTGAATTTTTATTTATTTATTTTTCGTGCATCATTTTGTGTGCTACGCGGGCCCCGAAGGCCATTTATCGAGCCAAGGATTTTAATAATGTATTATTATTTATTCTAAGTCATTTAAAAGTGACGGTATTATTTTTAGAATTTTTCGGAAGTCGAGATAATTTCCGAGCTCGAGAACTTCTCCCGGTTTTACCATTTGCATTGAGGGACATTGTGGTCTTTTTACACTTATATACATATATCTATACCTAGAGGTAGATATTTTAGGGATAAGCATGGCATTGCAATGAAAGGAGGAGGGCAATGATGTAACTTGGCTAAAAGCTA